ACGGGATGCGAACCCGCGACCCGCAGATTGCGAGTCGAGCGTCCTAACCACCTGGCCATGCTGAGTCCATATCACAGTGAAGTCACGTTACTAGTACAGGACGAAAGCAATTCATATTCCTGTATAAACAACGTTAGAAAGATTTTTTTAAGCAGGTGAAATGAGTTTAAAATAGATTTATTTTTCGTTTGAATTTTTATATAAAACTTTAATCATTTCACAAAATCACTCTTTTAAATATTATAGACTTTATACGAAGCTGAGGAAATCCACAATTTTCAATAAATACAAACGATAACTACGGGTCTACTTAAGTTATTTTGATAACTTAAACGTTGAAGAAAAATGATATGTTAATTTTAGTACAATGTGTGAGAATATCTAATTTTGACAACATTTTAAAGCATTTGATATAAATAAATATGATCCACACTTTTATGATTAAATTACCATTAATGAAAATGTCAAGGACTGTTTATGTACAGTGGTGATTTCAAGGAAAGATTGGAGAAATTCCTCTAACTTATTTGGAACATTACCTTTGCCATGCTGCCTCCATCTCTGCTATTTTCTTCACGCCACCTTCAAGCTGTTTGGGCAGCTGAGATTTGTAAATCAGGGATGGCTTGCCTAAATATTTAAACATTCATATCTCAGCATTGAGGTTATATGATAATCACAGTTAAGTACAGAGGATGTATCTATCTGTCTAATAATTACACGTATACCTTTTCTGTAATTTTATTCAACAAAGCATAGAAATCAGGTATAAATTGATTTTTATGTTACAGAATACCATACCTAGACTAGTAAACAGATAGATGATTAGGTATGTGGTTGTTAATAAGGACCAATAATAAGTATATGCATATATAATTCATTAGTACAGAAAGTATTATACGTGAAGAATAAATCGAAACCAGAACTATATTTGAGGAATGCAACATTTATTTTTATCACATAAGTATAGTTCTAGTGATCATGTTGTGTACGATGTTTAGATGAGAGTGAATAGCGACCAGTCTGAGTACGGTGTTTTGATAGGGGTGGATAGCGACCAAGCTGAGTAAGGTGTTTTGGTAGGAGTGAAACAGGAACCGAGCTCAGTACGGTGTTTTGATGTGAGTGAACAGCAACAAAGCTGAGTACGATGCTATGATGGGAGTGAACAATGATCGAAATATTCTAATTGTGAAGTTATTATTGTATGAAATAAAAGAAGAAGAAAAAAAACACGCACGTTACGAGTCAACTGCCCTCCAATCAAATAGGATAACCATAATGATGTTGATTAAAATCCCGACAACGAATGCAACAGTACAATAGTGTATGCGAGTCTACACATGTAGCGAGAATTCTATATGGTATAAAAGGTTTTTGTTTTAAAACGGTCGTGTAATACATCACATATTATGATAGGAAAACGTCTACTTATGTATGTCATAACAGATCTCATTTGTCTGGAGGGTAGTTTATATAAATGAATATCATACGAACCTTTACATTTCAATATGGCTCTGGTGAAATCCTCTCCGAGTGGACTGAAAGCTCGTGCAGTGTACTCACCACAATCTTCAGGATGGACGTAGAGAACATCCAGAGCCACAAAACCGAAGTCATGAGTCACTTTGAACTTGTGACCTGAAAAGTCCGTTAAAGAGCATTAATACAAAATGGTGGACGCAAATTGTAAATACAAGATCAGTGAGTGAAAAAGACAGTGTAATAAAGAAAAGAACAGAAGCGTTTTAACAGTATTTGATGCTTTATTTTGGATAGAAATTAACGTTTTGAGTTAACATAGACCCGTTTGAAGGATATACAAGTAATTTTGAGTTCGTTTAGTAAGCCGAATATTATCATGTTGTTAGGTTTGCTTGATAAATATATGTTCAGAAGTATTTTGACAATAAGCATATTAATAAGGTATGGTAAGAATCAGAATCGTATCAGCAAGAACATTTTTTTACATGAGATACAGCTTCTTTTTGTTCCTTCACATAACACTTACCTGACCTCAATGGCTGTCCATTACAGAACCACTCAACACTTACCTGACCTCAATGGCTGTCCATTACAGAACCACTCAACACTTACCTGACCTCAATGGATGTCCATTACAGAATCACTCAACACTTACCTGACCTCAATGGATGTCCATTACAGAACCACTCAACACTTACCTGACCTCAATGGCTGTCCATTACAGAACCACTCTATTCTTAGATTGGGATCGTTTACAGGTTCGACGCGACATTCGAAATGGGCACTGTCCCCTTCGTTCAGGTTCTCCAGAGACTGAATCTGAGTTATAAATCGGGGTGGTAGTAGCGACACTTCTTCTTCAAGAGCTTCTCTTTGGAGTGGATACTCTAGTTCTCGAAGTTTGTCAGCAGTCATGCCCATTGGTAGCTGCGAGTCTATAATGATGTCTCTCTTACCTATTAGTAAAGATTCAAGTCCATTGAGATTTAAATTAAAGACCCATTACATGTAATAATTAACCCTTAAACTACCGACTTATTTTTATATCGTTCTCTACCAGTGGGGGCTTTACATTGTATGATGTTGAGTAATTTAATCTGTTTACAGTGTAAAGAAGTGACTAAAATTAGTTCACTATGTTAAATGTAAGAAATCCTAGCTATTGCTAGTGGAACTAATTACAATATTAATGATGTTTTAGTTTACGTTTTTTTATGCGTCAATCAAATGTTATTAGGGACATTGTAACAAAGTGAGACAAGGAGTTAAGAAATCTGATATATAAACAGAAAAAGTACGGTTAAAACGTTGATGGGGGGCATACGCCTCATCGGTACGGTTGATAATGAAGTAAGTTTAGGGCTTACACGAAATTTACAATTCTAATTACATATAACATACAACAAAACTTGTGCATCAGAGAAACACGTGTTTAAAATGTCGATAAAATCAGAGTTTCCTCTATACATGATAACTATGTTTCAGTACTTTCAGACACGAAAAGACACTAAATTTAGTAAATTGTGTTTATTGTTCTTTGTAGGCGCAAAACCGTCTAAGGAAGTCTGGAGCATGCTGCCCCCAGGAAATATTTAGTAAAAGAATGGATTTTTTGTTTTATAGCAATCAATAGATTATTTTTATTGTTCTTTGTAGGCGCAAAACCGTCTAAGGAAGTCTGGGGCATGCTGCCCCCAGGAAATATTTAGTAAAAGAATGGATTCTTTGTTTTATAGCAAAGCCACATTGGACTATCTGCTGGGTCTACCGTGGGAAATCGAACTCCGGATTTTCCCTTTTGTAAATCCGTAAACGTAAGTCTTCGTTAGTCAGGTAAGTGGACTTCCATTTGAAAGTTGAACAGAAATTATGCCCTAAGTAGCCAGCAGTTTAAATCATATCGACTATTGTAATCTATCTTGGATCTCCTAGGCCATTTTTCTGTCTTAAAAACCATTTAAAAAACGGATATTAACCTTCCTTATCGCGCATTATTGCTTGAGATTCCTATGGATTGGATCAGAATGACCGAGTACACATATCTTTAAATTGTTTTTGAACGCATTAGGTTGGTTATATTATGCTAATAGTAATAATCCGCCGTCTGCTTAAATAATTGGATTTCACTGTGCACTCATGTTCTTTGTTGTCTTAAAATAGGAGAAGAACATAATTTTATGCTTTCTCTATAAGAGAAAAATCTTCTCATACATTTGCTACAAATTCCGAACATTGGTGCTGTTATTTACAAGATGCATAAAGAGCACTTATATGTGCTGTTATTTACAAGATGCATAAAGAGCACTTATAGTTCTGTTTTCATTTAGGACAAAACGGTAAATAAATAATTATTTGATATTACTCTGAGACGAATAATGACCTCCAGGTGTTGTTATACGACAATATATAATAACTGCTAACATTTATTAAACAAAATACACAAAATGAGTAAACCCAGAACCGGTGTATATATATACAGTTTTGATAATTTGTTTTTTCACTTTTTAAAATGTAAAATACAATAATATTTTTATTTTGTTTCAGAGCACTTCTGTATAGGAGAAGTAATCCAAAATGAATTGTCGTTGTATAGACCGTTTCATGAATAAAATATTATCATATGGTCTATTGCAAAGCAATACGAAACATCAGTAAAGTAAAGCATGTTGTAGAAAAATCTTAGAATTACAACATTTGGTTTAACTAAGGTTCAGGAGAAACCGTAAAGTTGTGAAAGTGTCACCCTTTTGTGGATGTACCTATAATTATCTCGAGCTACAAGCTGATTTATGGTTTTTGTTGATTGACGTTATCACAGGTGTATCTAGGAGCAATCACTTCGGTGGTGGTGGGGGGGGGGGGCAAGTTGAGCAACCACAATGTTTTCAAGTTAAAACTTAATACCTACAGGTGTGAGACGACTGGTCATAGTGTGACAAGTACACTCAGCATGTAAAGATGCACGTTATTGCTAGAAGGAGCCTGGGGCATGTCCCCCAGAAAATTGTGAGCAAAAAGTGTTATTAAAAACATTGGTTCTGCATAAATTTAAAAAAATGGAAAACCTTTCGGGGCAGAAACCAGTTTTGGAGGGACGTTATGGTAATCATATATAATCTTGCATGTTAAATAATTTCTTGGCTAACTATTGTCTGGGCGATTAACATCGCAACCCATGATGTCTAAGTTAAAACTACACTTGATTTAGGATTTCACGATCTCAAAAAAAGAAAAAAAAAGGAGAAAAGAAACAGATATTTAAACTATAAAAAGTTGTAATAAACAAAGAATCGTTTTCAACTTTTTCGATAATAGTAAAATAGGCCTTTTGTAAGTGCACCGAAAGGGCATCTAGCAATTATTATCAGTAATTTGTTTTGTTACTATAACGTAAAATTAAATTAATATCTAGCATCAGATAGATAAAATGAAATGTAAGTGAAATATACAGTAGTGCAATGTTTAAACCAACTTTCAATATATTTAATTATAAAACTACTTTGATGTAGATCTTAACCCTGACAAGCACAATAAAACAAAACAAATTATGGTGATCGAGTGACGATGTTGTTTATAGCACACTTTTATGTGTAATATTTTTTACTTACTTTTCACTTTTAAGGTTGCCTTCGTGGTGGCTTTACCCCATTTGTTCATTGCGCAGCACACATATTCCCCGCTGTCTCGAGGAAAGAGCCAATCAATATCCAGAACGACAAAGCCAAAATCATCTACAGTATGCACCCTGGAACCTATTATAAAATTAGAAGAAAAAAAAAACGACAACTTATGACTACTAGATTTATTGTATTTCTGTTTGTGAAATAACTCTCGGGTTGACAATAGTTGCAGGAAGACGTTATATAATTTACAAAGGAAATTACTTTTGTTGGATATCCACATAAAGCTACACTAGAGCTATCTGCGCTAGCATTCCTAATTTTGAAGTAATACACTAGAGAAGTTACAGATAGACAACAGCATCCACCAAATCTTGGGCTAATCTCATCGAAAAGTGGAATTTATCAGCTACTCTTATGAAGTATCCACGGCCGAATTTGCTATAGTGGGAATCGAACCATAAAGCTTTGGATTCACAGGAAATACTTTATAGTCAGTATAATCATAATCAACGTGATCAAACAGTTTTATGTATACTTATTTAGGCAAAACGGATTGTAGGTGTGTTGAAATCTTCTGTGGTTTCCATCTGCTTTTGGTATTTATGTTGAGGCTTTCATTGCAGGCTTTATCACACACACAGACTAAAATGTTGCCCATTTCTAAACTCCAGAAGGTTTAAAGCCAGATGACTGAAGATGTTATTATAATATGAAATAACGAACATATAATTTACCTGTAACAAGAGGTCTTCCATTAAGGTACCATTCAACTCTCATGGTTGGGTCTCCAACTGGTTGAAGACGACACTCAAAGTGAGCAGAATCTCCTTCTATCTTCTCCAAAAGGTTTTGAATCTCAGTGATGAAGTTTGGTGGTTGTTGCTTCTCTTCATCCAACGTTATTTCCTGTGTTTGATACAATGATTCTTCAAGCTGTTTCAAGCTCTCCGTGCCAGATTGGAAACTTTTGGGTAGTTGGGGTTCCATTACAATTGATGCTTTACCTACAGGATAAGAGACGTTATAATATATAATATTGACAATGTTGAATATATTTAAGTTGATAGAAAACTGAAAATATAATAGGAACACTATTAATACGCGGAACATGTTTATTTGAATAACTGTACAGAAAACAAAAAAACCAATTAAAGTAACGAACCACACGAGGCTGAATGTGACATCATCTGGTGTTAGCAGCTTAGACCACACTTCGAATATAAGTTCCATTGGTTCATAAAATAATGTAAGCTAAGGATAAAAGCAGTTAAGGCATATTTTTTTTCGAAAGGTAGAACAATTTATTTTTTTACTAATTTCTTTTGAGAAAGACTAATATGTTTTACAAAAACAATTTTCTCACTATATCTTACATAAACAATAGTGTTTAAATTTAGACAATAAGAGCCTCGCAGGTTTCCATTTGAGCTTTTTATATTTTATAATGTTAAACACTCTTGTATGATTTACTTGGTGAGTTTGTTTATTTGTTTAATTTCGCGTAGAACTACTACAGAGTTATCTGCGCTAGCCGTCCCTAAGAGTCAACATAACTAGCTCTTTGGCTTCTTTAATCGAGTAGTGGGATTGACCGTCACCTTATAACGCCCCCATGGCTGAAAAGGTGGGCATTTTCGGTAATGGGAATCGAACCCAAAGCCCGCAAGTTGCGAGTCAAGCGCCCTTACCACCAGGCCGTCTTGACGAGACTTGTTATGTCACGGAAAGTGATTTTCCTGCAGTACAGTTCGTTATTGGGTTAAGAAACTTCTAATTTTTCTCTGTGAAAACGTCACAACACTGTTCCATTACTTAACACTTACACTGGATGGCAGGTTCATAGCTTATGATACAATGTGTTCGTAAAGATAAAGAAAAAAACTACCCCAAAACGTACTGTATATAGAGACAGCTGTATATTTGTGCCATCTTCAGATCACCCAATCAGTCCAAAGAAAAAAAAGTGCATTATTTTGTGGATTATTGTCATGATTACTTTCATCTTGTTTATAGATTTGTAGGGGATAGGGGCCTACTTTTCATATTCAAGTTAGCTGAAATAATAACTTCTCCTATCCTGTTAACAGCTTTATAGATGTAAACTTCAATATTACATTGGTAGATTGAGAGACCTACCTTTCACTTTCAAATTCGCTGAAATAGTAGCTTCTCCCATCCTGTTGACAGCTTTACATGTGTAAACCCCAACGTCGCGCTGGTAAACTCCAGCAATTTCCAGGATAACGTAACCAAAGTCACTAATAGTTCTTACTCGTGACCCTGAAAAATAATTGTGATATTGATACTGTGAGTTCATCTGATATTAACACAAAAATTAGTCTGATGTGAAACTCTTATTATAAGTAGTTGTAATGCAATACTTGGATATTTCCTTAGTAATTAACCCGAACACACACACACACTTGAAAACCTTAACTAGCAAGTGCGTTTAATAATAATTTTATGGCCTTTTGTACAATATCAAATTATTAAAACTTAAACGCTGAAACTTGACTAAATATCAAATGCAAACAAAGATAATAAATATATAAACAACTAAATGTTTGATAATTTAAGATGTATATAAGTTTCTTACCAGTCTTCAGTATTTTACCATTATGGTACCAATCTACTTTCATTGTGGGATCACCAACTGGGGTTAAACGACATTCAAAGTGAACAAGAGAATTTTCTCCAATTGTGATGTCTTGAAGAGTGGTAATAAACTTTGGAGCTTGAGTGGTTTCTGTATCCATCCAAACTTCAGCCAGATGACCACTTGGAATCTCTTCAAACTTTGCAATCTTCTCGATTCCTGATTCCATTCCTTCAGGTAGCTGAGACTCCAGGATAATTCCACGTTTACCTAGAAGAACACGTTTTAAGACAATAGTTTAATAATTTCAGGCGTAATTGAATATAAAAAATGGTTTCATATTTTGCATTTTGAAACTTTCAAATGATGTACTCATAGCTTTTCTCTAGATTGTTAAAAATTGGATTGTATGTGAAAGAAATAGAAACTGTGACATAGCAGGGTTGGTGATTAGGTGATGAAAAATGAGCCACACTGCTGGGTGAAAGAGTTTGATGGAGCTGTTTAGTTTAATTTTTTTCGATTATAAGTAACTATTAAGATTTTTATATAAGATGCAGCGTGGGTACTTGAAATATGATACAAATAAGGTATGGGTGTTGTTAAGCGGAAAGCTACACAATGGGCTATCTCTTCCCCGCCCACTACGGGCATCGAAACCCCAAATTTAGCGTTCTAAGTCTTATCGCTAAGCCACTTGGAGGCGGTACAAATATGATAAAAAGGGTTCTGAAATGACAACTTTCAAATCATGTTTTAATTTAACAACAACAACAACAAAATTTTTTAAATGTGTTACCAAAGTAATACATTTTACAGAGATGCGTGTACATAGATATCGAATCTGAGCAGTACAACTGGCCTAGACAGATATGTGTAAGATAACCTGTGTAATTATCAAAACTTAGCGAATCAAGTGCCGTCAATCAACGAATAACCAATTCTGCCGATCGGAATGTAATAAAACGATAGTAAAACCGCGACTGTTTATATCTTCCTCAGAACATACACAGAGGCCGAAATAGATCTGGTAAAGTCTCACTGTACAACTAAAATGACGACATCATTTAACCTCGGCATAAAAGTTCATAGCATTACTAATACCGTACAAGACCTCTACAAACTTAAAATAACTTCTATCTCAGGCTTACCTTCACACTTCATTGTGCACGTGGTAACAGCTTCTCCAATTTTGTTGGTGGCGCGGCAGGAATACACTCCACTGTCTTCTGGGTACACGGGACTTATCTCCAGAACCACAAAGCCAAAGTCGTTGATGGAACGGATGCGTGTTCCTAGAAGTATATTTTTACCATGTTTAGATTTCTCGTCTTTAAAGCAAAAAATAGATAAACAAGTAATAAAAAAATCGAATGGACAAAGATGACAAATACACAGCTAAGGTACAATATAAAAACGTAATACCTTAAACAGTACTATTCAATGCTGGAAAATAGAAATGAACAGGAGTTGACCAGCTAACAAAAGAGCCAAGAGCAATCCAGCATATTTTGCTGAGTTAGAACAACATGGGTTTAGGTTAAAATAACAGTTAATAACTCGTGTATCTATATAAGCTTGCTATCAGGAATCTAGAATGAATCTACAAATACTCGTCATCCGTGGTTGACAGCGACAGTAATGTAGAATGAAAGGGATACTATATTTACGAATACCCGTTCATCCGTGGTTGACAGCGAAGGTAATGTAGAATGAAAGGGATAGTATATTTACAAATACCCGTTTATCCGTGGTTGACAGCGACAGTAATGTAGAATGAAAGGGATACTATATTTACAAATACTCGTCATC